TCAATAAAAAATTGCTGACGATTTGGTGACATACCAATGATTCTGACTGGTCTTCCGTTTGACTTCAAACGATTGCAATATCCAGTTCGCCTTGCGTTCGCAATAACATGTCGCAAGACCAATCGCTTAGTGTTTGCGGGATAAATTTCAAATAGATGATTTAGAAAATCATTGTTTTTCACATGGGCAGTTATACGTTGCCTGTTCACGAGTTGGAAAACCATCCGCTTTGTTTGTATTAACGTCAGACCAAAAACAAAAAATGTGGTTTACCAAAGATCACTTCCATGAAACGGATAATTTGCCCAAACGGATTCACTTTCATTTACTTAGAGAAGTTCAACTAAAAAACACTTCATTTTTGTAATCAAAATAAATTCGTTACTATTGTATGATAAAATCAAATTTTTCCTTTTAAAATATAAAACAAACAAAAAATTTCTTCATCTTTCTCACGAAACCATCTGGTGGCGAAACGGAGTTCGTCGGGTTTGCTAGTAATTTATAAAAATCTATAATTTCAAGTGTGAATCTGATATAAATACTGCTTGATAGCTGATATCAAGGCCAATGCGGAACCAGTGGATTCTAATCCTCTTTCTTACCACGGAGTCATAACCAGCTCTAAAGATGGTACATGTAATGTATTCACTAAAGACGTGAAGAAAAACATTGGCTACATATATTTTAGTTTATCTTTTGGTTAGCAATGTTAGCATCTATTCTCTATGAAATAATCTGTACACATCGGAAAACAATGAATTTAAATTTGACAAAAAAATTACTGCCAATTTGATGAGCAATGAATATATTTCCTGTATTTATATAACTTGCGTGTTTAAAATTTATTGCCTATGACGTTTCTCTATTGAATAATGCATTGCAAACGTGAGATTGCAATGTTATTGATTGTGGTAAGATATAAATAGTTTGACATTGGAATGGACGATTATTGAATTTATTTACTGATAAGAAAAAAATTAGAAATATTTTATTTAGTCCATGGTTTCTCAAATGGTTTTAAAATTTTTCGGGTGTGATCATTATTGTTTGAAAATTATTTTATCTCCTTATAAATATTATACCAAAATATATAGAATATTATGCTAGAATTTGTTTTAAATATAATACTAATTCAAACAACAAATATTATAATTATCTCGGTCTTGTTGCAAAACTGTTTTACCTGTGTCTTATCAACAGGTAGATAAGTATGATTACGAATAATTTTATATTAATTGCAGTTCCCTTCTCAATGTAATGCGTAATAATTTATTAGAATTGATGATTAAAATTGAAATTGTTTTTTTATTTTTCAAGGTTCTATGCCTATATAGACTTGAATGATACTTGTTCGAACTGCTAATGCCTTGAAATACATTCGACATATTTTTGACTACCGAAGAAGCAAATGCCAAATTGAAAAAATTCTACTTTTAAACATATTTTTTTGTATTAATGAATTATGTGACTTTCAAGTATTGGCCACTACATTAATCACGTGGAAAACGACACGTGATTAATCACGAAAGATTACGTAGGGGAGGGTGGTTTTAGTAAGACGTGTATTTATTTTTTACCTCAGTTTAAAAAAACTAAAAATTTTTGAAAAAAATTCAAAAAGTTTACGATTTTTTCTAGATACTAAAAATACACGTAATGTTGTTTGGGGAAGGGGAGTATTTTCAAATATCACCACGTATTTTCAAATATCACCACCAATGTTTTTTTACAATAAGAAAGTAGTAAATAAAAAAGTAAATAAACGTAAAACAATAAAATAAATTAATTGTCATCTCAACACTGCTGATAAATATTTCTGACGAAATGGCAGATCAAGGTTAAATGCAGTGTAATTTATTTATTTATTCGGTAAAATCTCTTTAAAATTAAAAATAAGGCATTGTATCTGTTTGACCGATGGCAACCTCTTTCTTCCTACCTAGTCTATGGAGTAAAAAGGGACATATGACAAATTTTAGAGAAAACTGTAAAATGCATGCTACTACAATAGTGAATTGCTGAGATTTTTTACCTCAGTTTTCAAAAAACTGAAATTAAAAAAAAAAAACAAAAATCTTACGATTTTTTCTAGGCACTAAAAATATACGTGATGTTGTTTGGGGAAGGAGGATAATTTTAAATATCACCACGTATCACTAAAGGGAATCAAAATATCCTTAGAAATCGCTCAGGTGATTAATGGACGCTCTTGTATGAAAATGTTTTTTCAGGTTGAAAAGCCTAGCAAAGGTCATAAATATCGATATTGTAGTTTCCTTAACAACCTTATAGAATTAAGATTTATGCGTCATCTTACCAAAAAAAACATAATTATTTGGCAAAATATCGAAAAACTTGGAATGTGACCTGTAAGTTTGGGGGCCCATAACGCATTAAGTAGCTTCAAGAAGACTACTTGAATGGACCTACAACGATTGGAATATCTATATTTGATATACATATTTATATTAGTAAAACTTCTCTAATGATGACATTTTTTTTGATTCGATGAAGCAATTCTGGGGAAGAGATATTCTCACTTGGAGGGATATTTCTACCTATATTTTCATTAAAAACTGATGTCACTACTGCTTGACACACGCTGTTTGAGGAACAACTGCAATTCAGGTGGATTTAATCCGTTTACGAATGCATATTATAAATTAAAAATTAATTTGATTGGTGCTTTTTAGACATTTGTTTCATATGAAGATTATTATCTTCTATATATATAAAAATAAGTCGGGTTTTCCATCCTGACGAAATAACTCCAGAACGCACGAACGGATTTCGACAATTTTGCATTCGTTGGAAAGGTCTCGTCCGCAAGGTTTATAGCTAAGAAAATTAGTTGTGCATGGCATCGTGCCTTAATGCAAATTGCTGGAACTTCACGCACCATAATTAAACATTCGAGTAATGACATTAGTGAGAATTATCAGAATTATGCTTGGTTAAGTCAACGAGCAATTCTTGCCGCAAAGAATAATGATGTACACGCACTGAATTTCACCATTCAATCAAAAATTGCTGGCGATTTGGTTTGACTTCGAACGATTGCAATTTCCAGTCCTCCTTGCGTTCGCAATAACAAGTCGCAAGGCCAATCGCTTAGTGTTTGCGGGATGAATTTTAAATAGATTATTTGGAAAATCATTGTTTTTCACATAAGCAGTTATACGTTGTCTATTCACGAGTTGGAAAACCATCCGCTTTGTTTGTGTTAACGTCAGACCAAAAAACAAAAAATGTGGTTTACCAAAGATCACTTCCATGAAACGGATAGTATGCGGATTAACTTTCATTTACTTAGAGAAGTTCAACTAAAAAACACTTCATTTTTGTAATCGAAATAAATTCATTACTGTCAATAAAATCAAATTTTTCCTCTTCAAATATAAAACAAATAAAAAAATTCTTCATCTTTCTCACGAAACCATCTGGTGGCGAAACGGAGTTCGTCGGGTTAGTTAATATATAAATATTTACAAATCTTCCATGGCGTATCCCGTAACGTGCTAGGGGGCGTCCATTAATCACATGATCGATTTTTTAAGGATTTTTAGACCCCCCTCCCCATTGGTGATACGAGAAAAATATGTAAAATTTTTGGGTTTTTCTAGAAAATATCTGGATTTTCTAAAAATTCAGGTAAAAAATAAATACATATCTTACTATACCCTCCCTCCACGTGATATTTCGTGATTATTTGTCAAACCGCCTCTCGCCCTAATGCATTCCTCCTTAACGCGATCACTTTGCGTGGACAGTATCCATTGTTTTATTATTACCAATAAAGAAAACTGCTTTTACATAAAATTTCGTAAAAAATTAAATATGTTCAAATAATTAAAAAAATATTCTAGTAACACATGAGTATATTTTTAACTTCCCGTAGGGTAAGTTATAGTAATCGCAAAAAAATCGAAAATGAAAATTTTTATATATCTTTACGTTTCAGAGGTTTCTTAACATTTTGGCATACCTTAGAAAAAATGGATGTATGTGTGTGTGTGTGTGTGTGTGTGTATGTATGTATGTATGTATGTATGTATGTATGTATGTATGTATGTACGTGTGTGTATGTATGTGCGGATACAAATTTTCGTCGACGATTTCGGGAACACGGATCAACCGATTTGAATAATTCAAAAAACATTCGATTCGTATTGATAAGGAGACGTGCTGATTAGTTTTTGGCGAAGGCAGGTCCAGCGGTTCCGAAGATACGGGGCAAAAAGTGCCAAAAACAGTACCTCCGTTTTTAAGAGAACGGAGCGTCCGATTTGAATACTTTAAAAAACATTTTACTTGTATTGACAAGATGTAGAATTGATCAAATTTTCTAATGAAAAAAGTAAAAAAAAATGCCATTCGGCGGTTAAAAATGATCATTAGACATATGCACATCAAATTGTCAGATATTTTATAGAGATTTTAACAATAAGTATAAATTTTTTTTACATTTCTGTGGGTTCCGTACCAATGCTTATGCGTTAGACGGCGGCGCGGCACCTGCGAGCTTTGACATTTCGTCTCTATGCAGTTCAAGCAGTGCGATTGCTTTGAAAAAAAGTTCAGAATTTTCAAAATATGTCAAAATGAAGAAAATAAATTTTTTTTCAAATAAAAATTTTTTTTTTCAAAAAAACGGTATTTTTTTGTCAAATTTATAGTTTCTCAAAAATCTATTTTTTTCGAAGTAAAATTTTTTCAAAAATGTTAATCGTTTTTAAAAAAATAATAATTTTTGGTACGGGAAGTTCCAGCAATTTGCCTTAAGGCACGATGCCCTAATTGCCTTAAGACAGAATTCCACTTACAGCTAGTTAGTTTTACAATTTCGCCAGGTTGTAATGAATATTGCAATTTACTAGTGTGCTTTGAGAACATTCATCTGTCTTATAGGTGTTAATAACCTATAATTATTTTGATAGTGTTAATTAATTAGTCAATTAATAAATAGAAATCTTTTAATAGAAATGACACAGACTTACAACTTCCTCCGATATCAAAAGTCCTCGATCCTCATCATTCTGTTCGCCGCAAATGCTCTCGAAACATGGTCGGCAAACGTCGCAAAGACTTCGGGCCATTTCAGGATTTGATATTCCCAAATATTTAGTTTCAGGGCGCATAATAACATTGATATAATATTTTATGATAATATTCTGTCTTTCTTCTGAATTTGCTCCACATTACTAATCGAAAATATCAGCTGTTTTTGAAACGGTATAATAACTTCCACATTTCAACATCACGTTTTCTTTTATATTTTTTGGTTTAGTTTTGTCCTATTGGAAATGTGATTTAATCAGAATCTACTTGTCAAAATTGCGATTATCATAAAATTAAATCGTTTCGGCAAAGATCAGCTATGAAATTTCCAAAAGAAAATTTATTAGATCGTTCATTGTACTTTAAAATAGTTGAAACTCTAAGGTAGACGGAAACTCACATGTCCAGGGGTAAAAAGGTCCACCACCAGTATCTCAAAAACAAGTAAATTACAGCATTTTCAAACGATACTATTTTAAAGTAGAAGGCAAATAATGTATCTCAACTCTTATTTCAATATTCATAACAAAAGTTTTTTTTTATTTGTAGTTTTTTTTGGTTTTGAGCTCTTTTATATAATTTATGATACCTAATTATAATTATCAGACATACGCTATTTAATTGTTTTATAAGATGTATTTTTTATTTTTAAGTTAAATTTGACAGTTTTTTTATATAACTTGTATAATATCTTGGATATGGGTAGTGGGGTAAAAAGGACCACTTAAACCTTTATACTGAAGGACGTGAACAATAAGAAAGTAGTAAACAGAAAGGTAAATTGAGTTGAAACAAGCAATTTAGCAAAAGATAAAATATGAGTTATTCCAACACTACTAATTAATATTTCTAACAAAATACCAAATCAAGGTTATATGAAGTGTAATATTTGTAAAAAATGTGCCTATTTATGTGCCGTTTTATTTGGTATCGGTTATATAATTTAGCAATTATTATATAAAATTCCATTGAAATTAAAAATAAGACGCTGCATCTGTTTGACCGATGGCAGTTTCTTTTTACCTAGCCTATGGGGTAAAAAGGGACAGATGACAAATTAAAAAAAAAAACAGTTATAAATATGCTTCTACAATAGTGAATTAGATAAAACTTTTATTGAACATAGTTTGATAGTTGTTAGATACATATTATTTGAAGTTCATTTGTCTCATTGTCAGACAATATAATTACTGAAAGTCAAACTGGACCTTGGTGCTTCGCTCTACCCTATACATTTTTTATAATTTTATTATTTCAAATTAAGAGCCTCAATTTTTCAAAAAAAAAACATTTTATTTTGCATTTAGAAATATTCCGTACGTTACGGGGATATGGGAGATCCCGGTCTTAGGGAATGTTAAAAAGAAACAAAAATTTCCTCAAGAAAGGGGAATCCCACGCCGCTTAAACGAGGAAATAGGTATAAACTATAAATTATATACAAATATATATATATATATATATATATATTTATTATTTTTATTTTTTAAGTAGATAATTTTTCAATGTTTTCGAAAGTAAATTATCGATATGCGCAATAAGATCATAAGTTCACTTTGAAGTCATTTACAATTCGAATGATATACCGAATAATTAAAAAATAATTAATTCTATCAACCATGCTATACGGCATTTTTTTAATTTTATAGCGAATTAATTTTAAAAATGATATATAAAACAATAGTATTACCATAAATTCAATGAATTTTTGTTGCCTGGGTACTATAATTCTATGTTATTTACTAAAAATCAAAAACAAAAATCTACCTGTCGTTCGTTATAAATACATACTATTTGATACTACGTAGAAAGCTCAACATATTATTTTATATCACATATAATATTTCTAACTAAAGTTTTAGTAGTTAGACCATAAATAATAAATAACAAATAAATCGCCACTAATTAAGCACTATAATCACAACGTAGGTATGTTACTATTCAACACAGCACGTTGTTTAATATTAGAACAATTTTGTGGCTAACAATAAGACATACCGAAATCATGATACACAAAACCATATGCGAAAGGTTTCACTTGTTTCTCCGTTATACAATATATCACAAAAATAGATAAATGTTTGTGTTTTTTTACAAAGTTTGGCACAAAATCTATCATATGCCATTTCAATGTTAGCGATTTGACATTTCTTCGTGTACTGATGTTGGATCCGTGTCGTACCTCGTACGCAATAATGCGATGTTAGTGTTTTTTGCGCTGTGAATCCCGAGACACGTTGGTGTTTGTGTTTTATAAACGGTTTCGAGCCGCCGTTAATGTATTTTACATGCACGGATACATCTATGCTTCTATAGGATAACAAAACCGTATATCTACTAGTATGCGTTAAGTTACTCAATCAGTTTTATAAAGCTTTAGAAATTAATCAAGAACTAGCGATGCATGACATATGCCTTAAGGAAAATTGCTGGTACTTCCGTACCAAAAGGCTCTCATTTTTTTTTGAAAATTTTGAAAAAAAAATATTTTTGAGAATTTGATATTTTTGAAAAATTGACTTTTTGATAAATTATTTTTTTAACCATATGGTAAACTATTGTATTTGCATATTTTCACGTTTCAGAGGTTTCTGAGCATTTTGACATATCTTATTATTTGAAAAAAAAGAGCGCGTAAGCATAACACGCGATTGAAGTAAAACTTATTTGCTCCTGCACAAAAATAAAATCATATAACAATTTTGAATAATGTTTATTAGTAATATGGTAACACTCGTGATGCACACATTTATTAGTGTCATCCATTATACACATTTATAGAATGATAAATTATGAATTATATATAACATTTAAAAACAATAATGTAATTAAAGTCATACTTGAAATATGACATGATCGGTTTGTCATTGTAATTAGCATTTAGAAACGAACCTTCATTAGAGAAATGAAGTAATTGCTGATTCATAAATTCTATAATATTCGTTCACACAGTGGAATATATTAAACAACGCCTAAACAAATATTGTTCTCGCAACTTCACTCATCATGTAATTGTGTTTCAAGAACTTTATGTAATTAAAATTAACATACATTCATTGACTGCTTGTATTTTTTTTTACTTTTTCGCTGGCGATATAATCTCAATATTTGAACAGCTTTAATATCTGTCTTGCCTAAAAAATATTTTCCATTTTAATAACTTCAAAGATTTATAGAAACTACGAATAATATAGAAATAATTTCTAATCAATAAGTCCACGGCACAAATTTGTTTTATTATTTTCAAGAAACAGGGTAAAATATTATTCTGATTCAGGCATTTTTCATTAAATCAAGAATTGTACTGCGATGTAACTTTAAACTTTAAAATGTTTATTTATCTATGCCGATTTCCTTGTTGATATTGGTACGCATACAACGTTAATGCTGGTGTGCATACAACGTTGATGTCGGTACGCATACAACGACAGATCTCTATTCACATATACGACGACTAATCACAATCGACCCGTATAGAAATGATACCATAGAGAGCGAATGACGAATCAACCATGACCGTATTTGTACGGATTTACACTTCAGTCGCGCCTAAAGAACTTTTACTTCAAAAATGAATGTATGTATGTGTTTTTGTATAGCGAAGGAAATGCATTTATGCATCCCAGACTGGTCAAAATGTCTGGGTATGTCGGACTCAATACCGCCGCGGGTATAATACCGACTAGAACCTCCGCTTTGTCCTTGCCTCTGCTTCCCACGGAAACTGTGTTAGGCATTACTTCGTTGGGGAGAGGATCTAAAATGTTATAATTCTCACCTTGATATTATACTTATCTTTTTAATTGAGCGATCGCCCTTTCTCTTTCCATAGAACGCAGGTCAATTAGCACATCTCTCGCAAATCAGTCTATGGCGTTCCATGCAGCTTCAGTTGTCAGCATCACTTCAACAACAGTATCTGGCGTAATTCTTTGCCTCAATATCTCTTCTACATCGTCCCGTAAAGCACTAAATCGCGGGCACACAAAGAACACGTGCTCAGCATCTTCGATTTCGCACAAACAATATGGGCAATCCGGCGAGCTATCGTGCATGAACAGCTGTGATCAGATAGATTTGCGTAGTGTAATAATTTACTTCTCTATGCTTGAGATTTAGCCAGACTTTGATGTCTGGAATGAGACGGTGCGTCCATTTGCCCTTCACTGCGACATCTCACAGTTGCTGCCATCGATCAATACTGTACTGCCGTTTTTATTCTCAACTTTTCAGGACTCAGTTGTTTATGTCTTCGATGGTAAATTGCCCGTCTTTCCTCTACTAAGGGAGGCAGAGTTCCTGAAATAACTTCTCCGATTTCTCGTTGACTGAAATGCTTTCTCCGATATTGTGCAAAATGCCCAAGCAACTCTTAAAGCACTCAGACAAGTAGGTCCTGCTATTTTCCTTGATTTTGAGTTTTGAGAGCATCAGCCCATATGGAGATACCATATGTAAGCACCAAAAGTAACCACTGATGATAGTTATATCTTTCTGGTTTGTTTTGGGCCTCCAACATTAGGCATCAGTCGAGCAAGTCTCGTCCTAACTATTGACGCTTTATGTTGTTCGCCTGTTGATTGAAGTTCAATCGAGCATCAAGCATTTCGCCAAGGTAACAGATGTGAGGTTCTGATGTGATCTCTAGATTTCCAATCGTCACCTTGATGGTCTTTATTGTTCTTCTACTGATTTTTGTTGTGCTAATTGGAGGTTCATTGTTCCCATTGTATGTATGTGTGTGTTTGTGTGTATGCGTATGTATAGATACAATTTTTTATCCATGTTTTTGGGAGCGATTTAAACGAATCGACCGATTTAAAATATTCAAAAGGCAATCGATTCCTATTGATAGGGAGATTAGTTTCAGGCAAAAGTCGGTTCAGCCGTTTCGGAGATATAAAGCAAAGAGTGCAGAGAATGGAAATTGAGCTTCTGAGAGAATGATTCAAAAAGTATTCAATTTGTAATGGTAGGGAGATGCTTTTGGCAAAAACAGGTCCAGCCGTTTCGGAGATACAGAGTTAAATATACAAAATGACAGTTTTTGAGAGAACAAAACATCCAATTTAAATTATTCAAAAAACTTTTGGCTTGTATTGACGAAGCGATTGTTTTGGGAAGAACAAAAAGAAATTATGAAATTTTCGGATTATTTTTAATTCTAACTAAATCCCGAAGCTCACTTATATACTTAAATATCACTTATGATAATATATTATAACATTTAATATTCTCAGAATATTTCAATACTACATCACTAATTTTTACTGTTTTTTGGAATTCCTTTGGAACATTTCATCAATAAAAATAAAAACACTTCGTTATCTCAACTGTGCCTGCCTTTCCAAAAATTAGTCACCACGTCTTCTCATCAATA